AGAGAGCGAGAGAGAGAGAGCGAGAAAGAGAGAGAGAGAGAGAGAGAGAGAGAGAGAGAAATTAGGGTTGGAAAAAGGTTTAGCCTGGTTTTGGGGTCTACGGTTTAGGGTTTGGAGTTCATGGAATAATTTTCAGTATGATTGCCTTATAACACTGGTAGAACACCAGCAGAAAGTACCGCATCGCCTTTTTCTAGACCAGCCATCCTCCTTCACAACCCCCATAAACCCCTTATGAAGCCAGCTTGCATATCATGTAATTTTCTGGTTGTTTACGGTTTAGGGTTTAGCTCAATTTCTACTTTTTTGATCAGCTCCAATGGAAAGAAAACGGAAACTACTAATTAGGGTCTAGGGTATAAGTCCCTCTTAAGCATATGAGAGCTTTCTGTAAGGTTCCCGAAGAAGCCCCCTCAAGTCCTATTTGGAAGGTGAGTTTACTTATATAACAAGTATACTTCTAGCCCCCTTAGGCGTTTAAGTATGGGTTTAAGGTTTGATGTTTCACCCTGGAAGCCCGTGCAAAGAATCTCCGGTGTCCCCTGTTGCCACTGTCAATACGCTGTTCATTGCGTCCCCGTGACCCTCCAAGTAAGGGGTGAGGGCAGTATCTGTATTTAGCGTGAGAAAAAGAAAGTATGTACCATGAACTTAGTTTTTAGAGTTGGGCTTGTTGATTTGAGTAAGGTAATGGGCCAACGATACTTGGCACCTTCAGCAATTGCAAGTCCATTACGGCTTCAGGGTTTGTTGTCAAGGATTTGGACGGTGGGGCTCGACAAGTGGAATGAAGGTAGGCGGGCTAGATGATCCCGACTGTAGACTCCATTAGGTTTAGGCTGTGGTTATATAGGGATAATGGAAAAGAAACTGGAACCTACTATTTATGGTTGAGGATTTAGCATTTAGGGCTTAGGGTTGAGGGTAGACTCAATTATCTTAGGGGCTTCTTTCCTGTGCCCCACCTGCCTTTACCTCACCTTCTGCACCCTAAAGCCCTCAAAGCAACATAAGCCTCAAACCCTAAAGCCCCAAAACCCTAAAATCCCACAATCCTTAAATCCTACATCCCTGCAACGCTTTTCTCAGGGCGTCAGCGAGCTCCGCGTCCAGGCTACCTAGGAGGGGCGTAGCAACGAAGGGTTGGCCGCAGGCCTCCTTGGTTGGCAGAGTTTACCCAATAATGGAGAATCAAATGGAAAACATGGAAAACAACATGAAAACTGGGATTATATGGTAGTTTACAGGGGTAAAACTAGGGAAAATCAAATGGAAAATCAAATGGCAACTAGGGAATATGTAGGGGTTATATAGGGCATATGCCGAGGCTTCGTTTTATCTCCAGGGGTTGGGGGCTTACTTAGGTTGTTAAGGATTTAGGTTGTCAAGGGTCTACAGCTTAGGGGTTTAGGGGCTTGGGGGTTTAGGGTTTAAGGGTTTAGGGTTTAGAGGTCCTGCGCAATCTCTGGCATATTCCACCTGAACAATTTAAGCAGAAGCCCCGCGCAAGGAAACCTACTTTAGGAGCTTGGGATCCCCTCTGTAGGGATTATATAGGGTTAATAGTGGGATAATGGAAAAGAAAATGGAAACTACAGGGATTATAGTGGTTATAAAGGGATTATAGGGATTATATGGGGGTTATTATGGGATAATGGAAAATAAAATGGAAACTACTATATTGGGGTCCTCTGAAAAAGACAACCCGCAAAACCCGAATAGTAAGGGATTACAATAGTACCCCCCCCCCCCCAAAAGGTACACCCCCAGATTTAGAGCCCTATTAGGCCTTATTAAGCCCTACATAGTCCTTATTGGCTGCTTAAAATCTGGGGGGGGGGTGGGGGGGGTGTACCTTTTTGGAAGGGTACTTATTGTAAGAACTTAAATAGTAAACATTACCAATATGATTCCAGTAGTTTTTCTTAGGGGGATACGGGGAGAGATTCTACTGGACCTCACCCCAAACCCTAAAACCCAAACCCCACACACAGGCATGACCCACCCAAAAGACGACGTACTGGTCATGAACAAAATCCCGCAAGACCAATCCATAATGAGCTACCAGAATTTTGAATGTCTGGGAAAATAGGGTCATGCAGCAATTTCGTCCATTCGCTAAAGCTCCCTAAGCCCTATCTAATACTTGGAGGTCCCTAGCTAAACATTGAATCCTAAACCCCATATAACTCCGTTACACTAGATTCCATATTCTCTTCCATTATCCCCATTTTACCCCTATATAACCCCTATATAAGCCCTACAAACTACCTAATAATCCCAGTTTCCATATTATTTTCCATATTGTTTTCCGTGTGATTCTCAACTATGCCCCCATAGAACCCTACTATAACCCCTATAATCCCTGTAGTTTCCATTTTCTTTTCCATTATCCCAATATAGCCCCAATGTACGTCCTACTGTTCCCATGGCTTATACCCCTATATTACCCCTATATAGCCTTATATAATATGGTAGTTTCCATTTTCTCTTCCATTTTCCCTATATTATACCCCTATAACCCCCCATATGTACCCTAACCCTAGTATGACCCCGCTATAATCCCTATATAACCCCTGTATAATCCCTACATAACTCCTATATATTCCCTATGCCCCCATGAAACCCTCAATATAACTCCAATGTAACGGCCAGCAAGCTGCAAGGACTGAGAGGAGGGCGATGAAGCTGGTAATGTCTGGATCGCTGCTGCTTCTTGCCATCACCTCAGAATGTTTGAGGCTTATATAGGGGTTATAGGGTTTCATATGATGTTATGAGGTGTTATGGGATTTTATAGGGCTTATAGGGCTTATCCATAGGGAGTATATAGGGATAATGGAAAAGAACATGGAAGCTATATTTAGGGTTTTTAGAGGTTGAGGGTTACATGTTTAGGGTTTGGGGCCACCTTAAGGGTATATGGGGATTCCCCCTTCAGTGGCCCCATCAGTGATAATGCGTGTTCTAGGGACGCACAAAAGGGAACTCCTCCTGGTCGGAAAGCCCCACGCGCGGATTGAGTTTTGGAAGTTTCTGAAACCCATCCTAGGGATATGTGGGAAGTAAAGGCATAGAAGGGTCTAGGGTTTAGGGAATTCTGGATGGTCCCCACTGCAGAGATCACATTGAGGTAATTTTCACAAACTCGCATGTGCCAGGGTTCAGGGACTAGCAAGATGCGGTTGAGGGGAAGAGACCTACATAGGTCTACTTCATGATGCTAAACCTTCATCCCTGAATCCTAAACAAACCCCTAGCCTAAGCATACCGTTCATGTCCCATATAGTATATGTATATCTATATATATATATATATACACACAGCTTTTTACCCTAAGAGGACCCCAGGTCTGAAAGATGTCCCCCAAGTAATCCGGCTTAAGGTTTAGGGTTTGCTAATTAGAACTGTCCTCGTTGAAGCCGTACTTGTGACAATGGGGCTCTAGAAAGTCGGACTCTGAACTCAATATTTTCAAGCCCTAACGGACAGCCCCGCATAGAAAGTCATCTTATAAAGCACCTTTGACCCCAAACCCTGGACTGTAAACAGTAGTTTCCATTTCATTTTCAGTTGTCCTGTCCATTTGACTCTGCATTCTTCGGGAAAGGAGAAAAGGGCTTACAGGGGGAACCCCCAAACCCTAGACCCTGAATGGTTGTTGCCATTTTCTTCTCCAGTACTTAATAAATAGTCCTAGAACTTAACCCTCTTTGTAGTTGGCCCCAGTTCTCTTCCATTAGCCCTATATAACCCCAATATACTATATAGTAGCTTCCATCTTTCCATTAT